GACACGTAACGCATCTGCATACATTTTCACTTAGCCTTGTGGCCTAGTCATCTAACTGCAAGAGAGACCAGAAAATGCAGTCTTTATTTTCAACAGGTCAGTTCTCAGCTAAAAATTGGGGGTTCTAATAGTAACGAAGAAGGGATGAACAGACATTGTAATAAACTCTTGGTTTCTGTCATGGTTATATGTAAAAATTAAGCTTATCATCTTCCCCAGGCCGTCACTGTTAACACTTCTTGAATATCTGGAGAAAGTCTTGTCTCTTTTGTCCAAGATTTTTTCCTACTCTGCCAGGAGTTGCCATGACCTGCCCCTGCTTCACCCTTACTAATTTGCCACGCCTCTTCTCGTCTGTCATTTGATTCTCACAAAAGCTCTATGAAATGAGTAGGGCAGGTGTCACGACCCCATTTCACAGATGAAGAAACCAAGGTCCAGAGAGGTAAACTGACTTTGCCTACAGTTGCACAGTAAAGAATGGAGCTGAGCCTCCTGTGGGGGCAGTACAAGGTGGGCAGTGATTCATAACTTCATGGAGAAAGTCTCGGTTTGGTGCTTCTGTGTCTGTAACTCCTCTCACACTTACTAATAAATCTTTGAAACAATGAGGAAGCAGCCCTCAGGCTTGGAGCATTTGGCAGGCAAAAGGATCTAACTAGAAGCTAAGAACATTATACTTATATTTATAGTTTCCTTCTATTTATGGCAAATGATCCTGGTTTCCTTTTCTTTGATAGTGATATAGAGCTTACTTTTTAAGTAAATGCCTATAAGTTAAAAAATGAGTCTACTCAGAGAAAAACGTTAAGTAAAGGTCTGAACACAGATCCCATGACTTACTGGCCGTGTGACATTGGGGACGACACTTGCTTCCCCTGAGCCTCGGCTTCCTCTCTGTAAAATGAGGAGGATCATTTCCCACCTCACAGATTTGTGAAAGGTCTTAGTGAGATCATGAATGTCAGGAGCTTAGCATGCTGGCACCCAGGTGAGCACTCAGTACTGTTTGTTAACATTATCACGTTATTAACAATATTATTAATCTTAATTTTGTCACAACATTTCTTGTGAGCAGGGAAAGTCAGTGGCCTGTAGGGTAATGAGATAGAGATGCCCCATCTTAGGGCCCCTCCCCCTATACCAGTGGTTCTGGACCAGGGATGATTTTGCCCCTCAGGGGACATTTGGCAGTGTCTGGAGACATTTTTATTATTATGACTGGGGGGTGGGGGAGGGGCGGTGCCACTGGCCTCTGGTGGGTAGAGGCCAGGGATGAGGCTAAACATCCCACAGTGCACAGGACGGCCCCCCACCATGAAGAATTATCAGGCAAAGTGTCAAAAACACTGTGGTTTAGAAACCTGCCGCACACTGCACCCTGCACCCTGCACCCGTGTCTGCGCCTTGAAGGAGCTGGCTCTTCAGCCAGCTCATTATTTCCAAAAGAGACATGACTTGGAAAGGTCCAGAGGTCTGATTTGGACTCTAAAGACCTCAGCCTCAGTTTCCTCATCGAGCAAAGGCGGATGCTGAAGCCTGCCTTGCCTGTTAGTCACTCCATCTCCTGATGGTTGAGCTTCTTGGTCACTTCCCTGGCCTGGGCTGTCCCTAGTGGTCTCTTCCTCTCTTCCCCCAGGTCCAGGGAAACCCCTCCGATTTGCTTTTCTCCATTTGCTTGACTTCTGGATGTTTCCCATTCCCAGAGCAGCCTCTGGGGCCCCATAGCCACCACCTAAAACACTGCAGAGCAAAGGAGGCAGAGAGTGTGAGTGAGAGATGGAGAGAGAAGCTCCACCTCCAGCCTTCTCTGAGCACCCCTGTTATTCTGGGTCTCAGCCCCAGTCTGCTTCCTCCGTGCACTCCTTGACATGTATGACTATTCTGTTTGTGTGTTGACCTGACTTTATTCCTTCTCACACACCTCTGCTCCCAAGGACAGAAACCATGCCTGGCACATAATAGGCACTCAGAATTTATTTGTGGACTGAATGAAGGGAGAGCCAAAGAGAGGAAAACGTGAGGGAACAGGTATAGGGAAGGAGAAAAGGAGGAGAGAAGAGGATGGGTGTTGACTGTCAAATGCTGAGTGATCTAAACAGAAGAGGGAGGGTCGAGACTGACTTGACCATGATATAGACTAGTGGGGTGGGGGGGGATGTGCAGAGACGTGCAAAGAAAGAAAGAAAGCCAAAAAGCGTGGAGAAGAGAAAGGAATGGAGACACGTGACTGGCGGGAGAGACACATGTAAGTGGTGAGGCAGAGAGAAATAGAGATAGAAAGTGCAGATGCAAAGCCAGGGAAGGAAACCTCATTGAGGGCCCGGTGTGGGGTTGTGGAGGGGAGAGGACCACCCGGTGCGGGCTTGTGGAGGGGAGAGGACCGCGCGCAGGAGCCTGAGCCCCGTGGCTGGGAGCTCTGGATACTGGCGCGGTTTCCATGGAGACAGGGATGCTGCGGGCGGGAGAAGAAACACTGCACCAGGGATGGGAGGGCGGGAGCGGAGGCGGAGGGGCTGGGTGGGTTTGTCCTGGGCTCTTTCCTCACCCCGCCTCTTACTGGGGATTCAGAGCCCCGGGGATGGGGAGGTGGGAGCACACCGGCTGGGGGAAGGGCCCTGGGGATGCCTAGGGGTGGGCGAAGGGCTGTGCTGAGTCGCTCCTCCTCTCCTGTTCCCCCATCCCTGGCGTTTGACCCTCCTCCCCTCTCCGATAGGGGCCTGGAGGGTCTTGCAAAGTTTCAGGGATATACAGGGAGACGGACGGGTCAAGCCTTCTCCGTGGGCTCCTCCTCTCTTCCCGCCCTGTAAATGCTGGAGGGCCCCAGGGCTCACTCCTAGGCTTTCTTTTCAGTTTCCATAACGTCAAGTCCCAGAGATTTACATGCCCACAGCTCCCAAATTTACATCTCCAGCCATGATTTCCTACTGAACTTCCCTGGCCGTTGGGGTGTCTAACGGGCATTTTCAAACTTGAATTCCGTAACTCACCAAACTCATTCTTGCCTCAGGGCTTTTTGCATTTGCCAGTCCCTTTGGAGGAACTCTTTTCCCAGCCCTTAAGCAGCCTTGTGTTCCACTGGAGCTGAGAGCTGAGAATCGTCTCTGGGGAGGCGAGCATTGGAGGGAGGAGGAAGCCCTGCTACAATGTGTGTGTGTGTGTGTGTGTGTGTGTGTGTGTGTGTGTGTGTGAGAGAGAGAGAGATCACAGTGCAGGGGTCGCCCTGCTTCAGGATGAGGAGCACAACCCAGGGGGAGTGGGGGACACTGTCTGTTACAGGAGGGTTGGCGAGGCCAGAGTATACCAAACGCGTGGGAGGGTGGAGGATGGGAGAGGCTCCACTGTGCTGGCACAAGGAAGTTTGGGGCCAAGGGAGCACTTTCTCCCACGGTAGATGAGGGAGGGAGCTGACAAATCCAAGGGTCCCCTCACCACCCTGGGGCCTCGTGGACAGTGGGCAGAATGGACCACCACCCGCACTGTCATCACTGTCATCTAAAACCCAGGTTAAGCACCCCATGGGCCTGATGTGGAACCTTCGGGTCTGAGACACACTAACCCAGTCACTGGCAGGACCTCAGACACTAAGAGGGCGATGTCAAGCCGCAGACACAGTCACAAGTCACGTGGCTGCCCCACTGCAAGGCGAGGAGGTGAAGGTCACAGCCCCAGTCGCCTACTGAGCGCCACTGGCTCTGATTGGCTGTGTGGGGCACGTGTCTCTCCTTGAGCCAATCAGTTATCGGAGGAATGCAATGTGCTGATTGACTTGGACTTGGGTCCCACCCACTAGGCTGAGCGCTGGGAAGAGCCCACCCAGACCACTGCCGGCTGGGATTGGCAGAGGCCGGTCACTAAACCCAGAGCCAGGGTGCCAAGGAGGGAACCAGTGGGGGCGCATTTCCATTGAAAAGCTCTTCTTGGCCTTGCCCTTCTCCCTCCTCTCCCCCATCTGAAACCAAGCCCCTCCCCCCCAACCATTTCCTTATTTGTGTGATTATTATTTTTATCATTATGACTAGTTTTGATAATAATATCAGCTAACATTTACCTGGGACTTACTGTGCCAGGCACTTTACATTTGCTGCCTCCTGTAATCTTTACAATCACTTGAATACCATCATTTTCCCCATTTCACAGATGAGGAAACTGAGGCTCAAAGGTGAAGGAACTGGCTCTAGGTGACACATCTAGAAAATAGCTGAGCCAGGGTTGGAGCCCCAGCCCTCTGAGCTGCTTTGCTCTAATGGACCGCTCCCCCAGTGTGCTGCAAGGTCCGCAAGGCTCGAGTCCAAGTACCCCGACCCCCAGCCTAGTCCAGTGTCTGGCACACAGTAGGCCCTCAATAGACACTACTTGAGTGAGTGAATGGCTGGCACTGTGCTAAGTGCCTTACAAGCAGTACATCATTTAATCCTCACCCCCACCCCCACCCGGTGAGGTAAGTTACACCGACACAAACAGGCGGGTCCCCAAAGTCATACACTAAGTGGGAGAACTAGCCTCAAACCCCATCATCCTCACCTCACAGTCTGTTCTCTGAGCTCAGTGCTCAGTTGTGTGAATGAGAATGTATTTCCAGCATCTTGAATGAAAGGAAAATGGCGCTCAGTAAATATTTGTTGAATGAATTACAAATATGAAGAAGGACCAGGATGGGAGAGGGTATGCAGGGTCAAGATGCTGAAGGAGGTGACCGTGGTTTACAATTTTCTCATATTTCTGGAAGGCTTCTTGGAGGAGGAGTTGACTTGATGGGGCAGCAGAGGGCATTGTGGGTTCGGGATAGTTTCTTTGCCCCGAGGCAGGAGGCCATCACAAATCCTAGATTCCGGAACCCACAGTAAGTGGTTTAACAGGCTCTTGGGTTGATGGGTGGAGCGGGTGTGCGGGCCCAGCCTGAGGAGGGCTTCTGGTGGTCCTCAGGCTCTGAGGAGTAACCATCCCCTTCTCTTTTCCTTCCTGTCCGCGGCGGTGGGCCCGGCCTCGCGCCCCCTCAGCTCTGTGCCTCGTGCTGGGCTGCATGATCTTCCCCGACGGCTGGGATGCCGAGACGATCCGGGACATGTGCGGGGCCAAGACCGGGAAGTACTCCCTGGGGGACTGTTCGGTGCGCTGGGCGTACATCCTGGCCATCATCGGCATCCTCAACGCCCTCATCCTCTCCTTCCTCGCCTTCGTGCTGGGCAACCGGCAAACAGACCTGCTGCAGGAGGAGCTCAAGCCGGAGAACAAAGGCGAGTGCGGCTTCCGCTTCCAGTGGGCGGTGGGCGGCTGCAGGGGCGGGGTGGGGGCGGCACAGAGACGGACACACACCGACGGACTTCAAAGTCCTGAGAGTGAAGCCAAAATTGGAAACGGTACAGGCAGTACGACCACCTTGAAAACAATTTGATGTTATCCCTCAAATCCGAACATTTGCATGCCTATGACCCAGCAAACCCACCCATGAGTGTAAACCCCTAAGAAATGTACAAAAATGCTCTTGGCAGCGGTTTCAAAATAGTAAACAACTAAAAACAACCTAAATGGCCATTGACAGGAGGATGGATAAATAAATGGTGATATATTCACATCACGAATAGCTCACAACTGTGAAAATGAATGAACTTCAGTTGTATGTAACAGAATAGATATATCCTGGAAACATAATATTGAGAGAGAGGAAAACATAATCAAGTTCCAGAAAATGACAGAGTGATATTTTTATTGAGCTTAAAAATCAAGCAACACTAAGCAATGTACAGTTTAAACATGTACATATTTATGGTAATATGTTTTTTAAAAAAGCAAAGAAATGAGAAATACAAAAGGTAGGATGGTGGTTATCTGTGGTTAGGATGGAAGGTGGGAAGCCAGGAGCATGAGATGGGGGACATGTAGGTAAGTACAAATTATTGGTAGAGTTATATTTCTTGCATGGTGAGCCCATAGATGTTACAGTATGCTTTATACCAAGTATATTACATATAAACTCTTGTATTGTTAAATAACAAAAATTCATCTGAGTAAATTTGAAGATCTAATTGGTTTTGTTCAACAATTCATGAACCAGGCAGCATCCCTTCTAGAAATAGAAGGGAGCCCCAAGGAGCTGTAGAAAAGGGAAAGCTTTTATAGGCAGAAGGGGGAAGAGATAAGGAAAGAGGGGACTTTGGGGGATGGAAAGGGTCTATGTGGCAGATTACCTCACTGGTGCTAACCAGAAAGTTCCAGACTTACTGGTTAAGACTACATTCTTGGGAGGGGCTGAAACTGCAACTAGGTTAGGTATTGTCTTGGTTTGCTGACGTGGGGCTTAGCACAAGTGACTCCATTTTGGGCTGTTGTTTCTTTTTAACAATTCTCTTTTGATCACACTCTCAGCCTAACTGAGAGATATGATAAAAAATTAAGGCATTAGCGCCACTCTCAGCTCCCACTCTGTAGTTCTTGCAGCTTTTGTTGATTCTTTGCATGGTGCTCACAGGGCATGACGTTTTTGCTTAATCCTTGTGATATCGCAGGTTATGGCTTCAGGTTCACAATCTTTAAGTCAGTCATTCTCTTTGTTCTTTTCCTGACATTCCAGTCTTAGGAAGATCATTTGCTTGGTGGTTAGTTAGCAGCTGCAAACACACATTTAAAGCTTTTGAGAGAATATAACGTACCAGGGAGATTATTATGATTATAATAAGTAGGATTAATTCCCAATGTTTGGAGTGTACTTTGGAGCCATGGTTCCCAAGACTCAAACCAATCAAAATCAAATAAGTCACAGAAAGACCCTGTTGAAGGAGTCACCTTTTAAGCCAAGTAGCTTGCTCAGTGATCTCATGTAACTGAGTTTCACCTTCCACAGAAGTGTTAATTCAGCTGCAGCGGGTGATGTTGGCCACAGCACAGACACCTCCTTGCTCAGCTAAAAGATAATCAAGGGCTGTCCTATTATGAAGAACCTTGGCCAGAGAGTCTAAGGATTTTTGTTGGACAGCTATTGCTTTAGCAGCCGATTCTGCAGTATTTTCAAGAGTTAAGGAGAGGTTCCTGATTATAGATAGCCTCATTTACATTTACTCTTAACTAGGGAAGTAGGAACCTGCCAAAGGAAGCAAATCCCAAGTCATGAATGCCCCCGGTAGGTCCTTTCTAACTTGATGATGTAAATTCAGTGGAGTTGACCAATGAGGTGTCTCAGTTTGTCTGTAAACAGTTAGGGGCACAGTTAGATAACTTAAGAGGCATTGCCTGGTTTTACAGTAGCCATCTAGGCATTCATAGGCCCAAGGAAAGTAGTAACCATAATAGAAAAAATTAATCCTGTGGGGCACAAACCACTTCCACTAAAGTGGCACTATTAATGGATTCATTCTCTGGGATCGTTGCATTTGCCTGCTCAAGCCAGGGGTTGGTTAGGTTTTTCCTGACCTGAAATAAAAAGTTGGTCTAAATTCCAGAGTTTACCCTCCTTAGCAATGGGCTCAGAGATACACATGATGGCGTTATCTTTCCAGGCTAATGTCAGAGTAAAGGAAGGAAAGAAAAGAGAGGGTTTCATGTTTAGTTAAAGTATGAAGTCTTTTTTTTTTTTTTTTTGTGAGGAAGATCAGCCCTGAGCTAACATCTGTGCTAATCGTCCTCTTTTTGCTGAGGAAGACCGGCTCTGAGCTAACATCTATTGCCAATCCTCCTCCTTTTTTTTCCCCCCACAAAGCCCCAGTAGATAGTTGTATGTCATAGTTGCACATCCTTCTAGTTGCTGTATGTGGGACGCGGCCTCAGCGTGGCCGGAGAAGCTGTGCGTCAGTGTGCGCCCGGGATGCGAACCTGGGCCGCCAGTAGCAGAGCGCGCACACTTAACCGCTAAGCCACGGGGCCGGCCCAAGGTATGAAGTCTTGATCCGGAGACTTGGGAAGAAGCAGTCTGTTTTGATGTCAGCTACTTCTCTTCCTAGTCAATGTGATTTGAAGGTCTCCAGCGTTTGTCCAGGACTAGATGTCAGGTAGAGCCTTCTTCAGCTGTGAGATGTGTACTCAAGGCTCAAGTCCCTGAAGTTTAGTGAGGATGACTTGGTGTAGTCCCTTCCAAGGAGACCCAGGGGAAGACTTTGTTCTTAGTGATTCCAAATCAGAAGGGTGGGAGAAAACTGGAAATAGTTTGGAGAGTCATAGCCAGATATTTGAGTAACTAGAATTCAGGATACCGTCCATTTATAGGTATATAACAAAACCTCAAAGACAATTAATAGGACTAGAATCTAATATCTACAAAGGTGCACACATAATTTTTCTTTCTACAATTATCCCCATTTCTTGCCAAAGGTAATCACAGTAAAAGTAATTTGTATTAAACTTGGTTTGATTATTTATATAAGTATAGTAAGAATAGTGATTGACCATATAAGTTTTTTAAAGATTGCTTTGCTGGAACCTTGTAAGCAAGGTACCAGGACTATTTTTCCAAGGGATTTATTGGTTCCGTAAAGTCAACCTTAGTTCCCTTTTTTTTTTTTTTTTTTTTTTTGCTGAGGAAGATTTGCTCTGAGCTAACATCTGTTGCCAATCTTCCTCTTTTTTTTTTTTTTTTTGCTTGAGGAAGATTAGCCCTGAGCTAACATCTGTGCCAGTCTTCCTCTATTTTGTGTGTGGGATGCTGCCACAGCATGGCTGACGAGTGGTGTTGGTCCATTCCCAGGATCTGAACCCACAAACCCAGGTGGCCGAAGCAGAGTGTGCTGGATTTAACCACTATGCCATGGGGCTGGCCTCCCTCAACCTTAGTTCCTTAATGCTATCTGGTCATATCTGAGTCTATGCACATCTCTCTCAAACATGACAATCCAGTGAAAGCCTTGGTAATATAGCCAGTATTTCCAATTGTGTACTGTTACACAGATTCTCACTGAACTTATGCAACTAACTATATTGCCATGAAAAGAACACTTAAGGGTTTCCAAATTCTGGAGGGATCATGTAGGGGAAAAAAGTAAATGTTTCACCTTTGTTTACAAAGGTATACTTTACTAAATTGTTGTAAGTCATAGGTAGCTTAAGAGAAAAGTTTCCTCAAATCTGGAAAAACAAAACATTAAAGCACCAGCAATGTTTCAAACAAAAGGTCATAAAAATTATAATCATCATTTTCAATTCATTCAGTTCCATTTAATTAACATTTAGCCAGCCCTGGTGGTCTAGTGGTTAAGATTTGGCACTCTCACTGCTGTGGCCCGTGTTCATTTCCCGGCCAGGGAACCACACCACCCGTCTGTCGGTTGTCATACTGTGGCGGCTGCATGTTGCTGTGATGTTGAAAGCTATGCCACCAGTATTTCAAATACCAGCGGGGTCACCCATGGTGGACAGGTTTCAGCAGAACTTTCAGACTAAGGCAGACTTGGAAGAAGGATCTGGCCACCCACTTCTGAAAAAATTGGCCATGAAAACCCTATGAACAGCAGCAGAGCATTGTCTGATATAGCGCTGGAAGGTGAGAGGATGTGCAAAAAGACTGGGCAGGGTTCTGCTCTGCTGTACACAGGGTCACTAGGAGTTAAAATTGACTTGACAGCACTAAAAACAAAATTCATATTGTTCTGCTTGAATCCAGTTTTTCCATCAGTTCTGGAAGTTCTTACCCAGTTCAGTTTTATGATCTTAAGGTTATCAGAAACCTGTACTTGTCAAAAGTCCTTCTATGAATTTCCTTGAAGATTATGCAGTTTTGCAGGAACACTTTTGCAAAAGCATCTGAGTAAAACAATAGCTCTCTATAATAACAAAGATTTAAAATACCCGTGGTTAAAGATCTGATGACAGTTCATTATAATGGAATTGACAAGGAAATTTGGTTATTTCTGTAACATGCAACATTTTAACATAACTGTTATAAATAACTGAATTATGACTGATAACGTTATGTCAGGACATAGCCAACTTCTAGGAATTTCACACAATTTCTGAAACATTTATAACATATACCTATACAGACATAATATAAAGAAGGCTTAGTATTGCTTCTTATTTGACAATGCTTCCCATCTAATTTAACATATCAAATAAGCCTAATTAGGGGGGCGGGGGCTGGCCCGGTGGCATAGGTTAAGTTCACATGCTCCACTTTGGCGGCCCAGGGTTTGCAGGTTCAGATCCCGAGTGTGGACCTACTCACCGCTCACCAAGCCATGCTGTGGCAGTCCTCCCACATATAAAGTAGAGGAAGAGGGGCACAGATGTTGGGCCAATCTTCCTCAGCAAAAAG